ATTGCATTGGCAGGTACATAAACATGCCTTGACTCTGAAACATGAGAGTTTATTGTATGTCGATATAAGGGGACATGGGAAGCGAACCGAAGGTTGACAAGCGTGACGGATGAGCTCCAACGCGGGTCAAGGAGCGATACGCCTTTTAAGGTCAGCGACGTGTGTCCCAAGACCAATTTTCTGAGACAGGCCTTAAATACCTACGAAATCAGAGTTACAGCAGCTCCACCTTATAACTGAACTTCCATCATCGATTTTCTTCATCCGTGTGGGTCGAGATGGTTCGGATTGATAATAGTCGACTTTGGATATTTTTTTGGGGAACGAGGACATCTTCCGCCAATGGCGAATGATAATGGCAGCAGTTATTGTTGCTGCTGTAGTTGCTCAGGCAGCAGTTCTGAACTCTTGGCTGATGGAGAACGACGAGCACGACGTGACGTGGCATTTAATAAAACTTTACAAGAGACGAGATAGATCAGAGCAGTGGTCAGGTTGACCAGATGACCTTAAGTCTGAATCACGTGGTTCGAGTGGAGCTACAGAGAATGGATTCACTAAATTTCTGTCGATGCGTCCTTTCTCGCCTACATCTCAGATGTGTCCGTTAGAGAAACAGAGAGTCAACTACGAATAATATTGATTCTTCAAGATCGTTCGACGCTTAAGCAGTAACAGGAAGCTAGTGTCCCTGTTAAATCAGTATATAGTAAAAAGAAATGCAACAAATAGATCTCTAGCATCATTTTAATGATAAATACCTAGAAGGATTCTCTTGAACTCTATTCAGAAAAAAAAAACTAACGAAAGCCTCCGTATGTTCAGATTACTTATTATGGTAAATAATAAAGAATCCACTTAGGGACATTCAATTCGTACATATGGCTTTCACAGACGACTCACGTTATACTTCATACTTCAAAAAGAAAAAAAAAGAAAAAAAATGTTCGAAGGCTACGAATCTTGGATAGAATTCCGGAAGCTCATCAGGGACGAGAAGGTCGCGCTATATCTATGGCGACGCGGAAACGAATCGCGAAGAAATATGATTTATCGACGCAACCTCGTTATCGTGAAAGCTGAAGAACCAAAGAGCATTATGCGAGAGGAGTTGCTTCATTGAGATGAGCAGTCCAGAGAGAGAGAGAGAGAGAGAGAGAAAATTTAAGATGAGCCAAGGTGGTGGAATTGCTGGAAGAGCCAACGGAATCGTATGGGAGCAAGAAGAGTAACAAGAGAAACAAGAGAAAAGCGCAGAGATATATATATATATATATATATAGAGAGAGAGAGAGAGAGAGAGAGAGAGAGAGAGAGAGAGAGAGAGAAAATTTAAGATGAGCCAAGGTGGTGGAATTGCTGGAAGAGCCAACGGAATCGTATGGGAGCAAGAAGAGTAACAAGAGAAACAAGAGAAAAGCGCAGAGATATATATATATATATATATAGATAGAGAGAGAGAGTGAGAGAGAGAGATAGAAGACTATGGTCAATTTGTTAACGTACACACCTGCCGCCATTCCAGTACAAAACTCACTCACTATCTAGATCTCTGGAAAAGGTCCTCTTACAGTAGTAGCAACGGAGCTGGTGTGATATCACCTTAAATAATCGTGTATAGCGTTTCACTTGGAGTCTGGTATAGCCATTGTCCTCGCTCTTAAATAGGAAGACACCAAGAGCCATCTTGACTTGTTCTATCGGAGCAACTATTCCAGCTGTTAACTTATATTGGATTAGACGCCGTGCAATGGGGAGGAGGTGTCATTAATCTAGCCTGATGAACAAACAATGTCATCCATTACGATCACTTATTTATTTATACCGGATACCAAGTGAATCCGTGTTGGTAGTATCTTTCGAGAATGTTATCCAGGATACTCGTGACCCGCAGGTTCATGCGAGTTGCGCCTTTTATATTTTATTTGATGCGAGCCGCGTTCCTGTGGAGCGTCGAGACGCGAGACGCAAGGAGAAACGTCGGTCTCGCACATCGATTCACTTCTCCTGTCGAGAATGGCGCCGTTCGACGTCCCGATAATCCGCGACGACGTTCGATGCGATTGGAAATTAAAGATCGATCGGTAACCCGGTGACTCGAGTGAATCACAATCCAGCCGGTGCACTCGTGTGCCACATGCACTTTGTATGCAATGCCAAAGGCCTGCAGTGCTGTTACGCTTAACACGAGCTCAGAGCGTCATGCACGTTCGCAGGTACTTGCGACGAGTATTCGCGGAGAGCGAGTATGCAAATCGCCAAACTGCAAGAGAGTGTCGACGGATGCAGATAAAGGTGCACTCGAGATACCGAGTGCAACGAGATGGGGAAAGACAATCGATGGGAAAAGTCTCTCGAGGAACCGCCCGAGGAGTTTCCTAATCTAAAACAGTTCGATAATGTCAATTTGATATCGGCTACCTCAGTGGCTACCAGTAATTTCGAGTGTCCAAAAGAAGAAGACGGGAGCTGCCAGATTCCTCTCTCTCTCTCTCTCTCTCTCTCTCTCTCTCTCTCTCTCTCTCTCTCTCTCTCTCGAGCTCCCAGAAGATGCACCGATCGCAATCGCTCGTGAAAAGAAGCTTCGATCGGTCACCGATAGTCATGCTTCTTTTTTTCTCCTTTTCTTCCTTTCCTCTTCTTCTCTCTTATTCTCCTGGGATGAGTTTATTTTCGTATCGGCAAGGACAAGAGAGATTTCTTTACTGGTGCATCTTAATTGGTCGCTCGGTATGCAGTCCGATCGGTGCATTAAGTTCCTCAGAGGAGTTGGCCGCTCTTGCACAAGATGCCGGACATGCCTTACCTCGAGTCCCCGTTAGGTTTGTCATTCTGTCCGAGTCTATCGTCTTTTCCCTCTTTAAATGCCTCTCGTGGTGTCACGAACCTTCGGCTAATTGGACGCGATAAATTCGCTACACAGTCGCGGCGAACGCTACCACGAACCGCAAGAGCCAGCAGTCCTTTATTTGAATCCTTTTAAAATCGAGTCAGAACCGATCGGATTCTCCAATGGCACTGAATAAGGAAATCCTTGCACATGCGCGTATACATGTACATACATATATATAGTCCGAATTATTTCCGAATTTGCGTTGGGAATTGATCGTTAATCCATTCCTTTATTTTTCCAAGGAAATATGTCTTTCTGACATATAACCTGAAACAGGATCGAGTATTCGGACGGAGACAGCTGCACGTACGTGTCCACGTATGTAATACAGATATACAATGTACGTTCACACGGCGCGTCTGGGAACGAGCTGCCACAGCGTGGATACATTTTCAATAATAAATCGTGCGGTCCCTGTAATCCGTGCACTATGACGCGTACAAAAGGCAAGTCAATAAATCTGTCAATATTAATCCACGCCTAATTGATTCCATTAGCGGCAATTCTCTAGGCCGTACGGGCGACGTAACGTGAACGTGAACGTGGACACGAACATAACGTAAGGTGAGTATATTAAACACACATGAAGGCTGCCAGCAGCGGAGCGTCTGATCTGCATTAGCTATATAGCGTTGCGGACCTAAGAATGGGTTCGTAGGTCAGAACTTCGACGAGAACAAGGGGTCATGGGTCAGCTCCCTGTTGGATCCTACCGTTGTTTCGGTTTGAGATATTATCGCCCTTTCGATCCGCGCTACCATCACCAGCACTGTCTGCTTCTTCATTTTTCAGAGGCCCTCGAGGATACGATTCTTGGGAGCTCTTTTCTCTCCAGACACTCGGTTACTGAAAATACTTTGGTTACACTTCAATCTTCTTTTACCCGTTCTATTGGATCCCGAATACGTGGGATATGCATGTGCCGTACTCGTCACCGGATTAATTTTACCACTGGCAACGTGCTCTCGGTTGGCAATGCAATTTCGACATGGTCCCTATGAATTTCGCAAAGGCACGTATCACAGCAGGGGGCACTATACTTTGAGATACCATACTACGTCGATCCTCCGTTCTCGCATTGCAAAATCAACCCGGACGAAATCTATTGGGCAGGATCATTTGTTTCGTACAATTGTATAACAGCGGACTGTCAGAGTTAGAGCAGAGCTAAGATGAACTCGATGTCGGTAGCTATGAAGAAACGAGAGAAAGTCGAACGATTTGTTTAAAGGACACGTTGAAAGTCTTACGAGACTCTTGACCGAGAGGGATGCTGGGGACGCGTGACGATCAAGACTCCACTAACCCTCCTTACGGACATACCGTGTTATAATCAATTTCACACATTGATTAATACGAAGTAAACGAATACCTGGGAATCGTTGCGGAGCTCAAGGCTCATGGCTCATATGGCTCGGATACCGAGGATAAAGGGGACAGAGAGGATACGTGGATACGGAGTACCGAATGAGTGCTAGAGAGATGAGCTGCAATGTACAATATAGGCAAAGTGACGGGAGTGAATGTGAGAATGGGAGAATGAGAGAGAGAGGAGCAGAGAGATGATTTATCCAGCGTGGGTCGCGGGGTGCCAGCCACGCGTAATTATCATACGACAGCCGATTAAAATTGCACCGTGTTCGCGCTCAACATCAATTTCAGCTAATTACATGCATTTTCATGTCCATGGCCGTTTCCAGTGTGCCGTTTGCCGTTTCCAACTTGCGGCGTGCACTGTTGCACTGTTGCAGCTTGTAACTTGCCGTCAAGGTATATCCCGTGCGAACCATCCTCGTAGGAAAAATCGGCCATACGTGCTGCCAGCTCGAAGACCGCTTGGTCTAGCTGGTAGGTAATCATTTTCAGCCATTCCAGGGAGAAGATCGACTTCGCGAAAGTGCTCGTAACTTTGGACGATTACAACGTCGAGCCTCCCCGACACTTTTTCCGAATAAACAGTCTGCCTGGTTATTTCGGAAATTACCCTAAATCACTTGTTCATTGCTTTTCAATGTTCTCGAACGGCGCGAACGTTTAGCTATGTTGGTTTCGATAATTATAAATGGCTTAGACGCACGTGAATTGTAAAAAAGAAAATTTGACTCACCCTGACGTGATCCCACTGATTTTCCTTGGATGATATTGCGATACACCGTCTTCTCTTTTCATCCCCAGCTCGAATCCTCGACATCCTCGACTCTTCCTACGAAAGCTTCGTTTCGTTCTCATCCAGGGTACACTGGAGGATATCCTCGCGGGATACCTCGACTTTGGTTCAGCTTGCAAGCTCACGTTGGAGCTATTCGTCAGGTCCTTCTTCTGCGCAAAGCCGAGACCGTCGCCCCGGTCAATCGGTACGTTACTCTTTTCCAGACTCTTCATTTCGCAGCAGGGATCGCCGAGAAATCTTGGTCGATCGGTCACCGTTGAGAACAGCTCCTTATCCGAGACTGATGTTCTTGAACTTTGTAACTTTAATTTCGGGACACTGGACTTTTTCGATCCACTTTCCGCAAAATGATTTCTATCGTCCGATGCTTCGATTACACTCTCTTTGGAACTTTGTGAAAGTTCATGTTTTGATTTGGATCTACCTTCTTCGCAATAACAAAATTTCTTGATGAACTGTATCGACCCCGGAATTGATAGGTAGGAGGACGTATCGTTTCCAAGAGTCTCGTTACTCGACGATACGGAAGATTCACGAATACCGATGGCGTGTAAATTCGCAGCAGTATCCTCCAGCTCAGCCACGCGCTTTTGCAAGTGTGCGATTTGTCGATCTCGCGCGTGCAAGAGAATTAAGACTTTCTGAGCGCGGATTTCTTCGCTCCAAGCATTTCTGAAAATGACAAAAAATCAAAACATTAAACAGGCAGAGACAAATAACACACAGTGTCTATGACAATTTCGTAATCCTCAATATATTCGTTGAACATGTCCGATTCGTATCCAGCGCTCTCGTTAATGGCCGGAAAGTATAGCGCAAAAGACGTTGCTCGTCTCGCGAGTTGGCCGCGACTTAAAGTGCTTAAGGAAACCGAAATAAATTACGGCGCAGAGAGAGGTGCATATTTAATTCGAGCAATTAATGCCGTCTTGTAAAACACGCCGCTGGGGTGGCTGTTGCTCTGTAGCCACCCTCTATTCCAGCCAGTAATGAGCCCGATAAATCAACTGCCTCTGCACTCGAAACTTCGAATAACATTGAGCGTCTCTGCAGCACGCGCTACGGCGAGGGCTGGAAGCTCCAAGCTTTCCTAAACGCCCATAGTAAACTGAGAGAAAGCTCAATACGTCATATAAGAGAAATCTGCTAGGCTGAGAAAAATACGAGAACGATGCTACTGGTTGGTTTACTTGAAGAAAATTGCATCTGGCGTTACGGGCACTACTTGACAATGCCTTGTGTCGCGATTAGGCCCTTTTTTCTTTAACGGGTCTTATCAAGACCTGGTCTCATGCAAATCCCACTTAATCTCCTCCTGGAGGAGCAGCCTCTTTCCTCGCAGATTTATGACGATTAATTAGGCATAAAATGCTCGTCGCCAGTTGTAAGGAAAAAAAATGCCACAGATTGCTCGAGCTAATCCTCCTCCCCAGGCTCGGGCTGCCGCCACGGGGCTGCAAGGGATGATGACGCGTCGTGAGGTTAGTCTTAAAAATTCATTAAATTTCCGCCACATTTATTAGCGACGTTCCCTACTTTCTAATTAAATAAGGCAAGAAACGTATAGTCTGGCGATTAAGTCGAATCTGTCTACAAACGGCCTTGGATTAGCCTATTGGATTAGTACGTGTCTCCCTAGTAGGATGCTACTAGACAGGAGAGGACAGAAGGGACAATTCCTGCTGTGATCATTATTCTCTGTACGTTGTACGAGATTGACAATAACTCCGCTCGGTTATTACGTGTTTGATTCTGCTAAGGATACTCAGAAGGTTTCACGACTCTATCCACAGCCACGGGCAGTGCCACTGACGTGGCTTATTAAAATTACAAATGGTCTGTGTCGAGGGTCTTGGACTGCTAACCACAACTCGTCTAGGGACGAGCCCGCTCGGTAGAAAGACGCCGAGGAGGACAAGGACGAGTACTAAGTCAGTCCGTATGCGTGCTTTGTACTGCGAACCAGGACGTTGACCACCAAGGATTACTCTGGCTGACTTTACACGGAGGTTGGCTGACCGCGAGAGGAGCGCTTCTGCCGCAGCATTGTCCTGGATTAATGTTATTGCCTTACCGATTCTCTTGACCCCATGGACAAACTTGAATTAGCTATATCCAGGGGACGCGAATCGGCACGGGTTCCCTGGAAACCCGAAATTCTACCTAGACCTGCCTCGAGTATTACGCATACCTCTGCTGAGTCTTGGATATTTTGAGTTCAGTAAGTTTGCCGTGTTCCACCGAGTCTCTGGAGCCCGTTGAGATACTACCTGAAGATGGTGAAGATGGTCCACGATAGAGAATAAGGGCATTGGAGACTAGCCTTCCCGACACCCTGGCTAGCTATTGCTTCGCCACCGATATTAATAACGATAATTGCTTGCCAGATGATAAATGATCGGCCGTGTCATCCTGCCGAAGATGGCTGCCCTATTCTATTCTATTCTATTCTATTCGCGACAACGATCTTCATCTCTTCATAATTAAAGTCGGCTAATGAAGCTTCCATAATGACAGCCGACACGTATCTACTCCCAAGCGCGGTATTATGTCTACGATCAAGATCGTCCACTTCGGTTTTATTAATAATATTCGATTGCCTGGATCGATTTGCGCTCCGTTCACACAGCATGGAAATGTCTCAGGTATCTCAGTACCATTTCATAAGCTACTTCGGGTCGATCCACCAGATGGACGTCGTCATTCCGTATAGCGCCTCGTATCGAGGCTTCACTATTAGTATCTTTAAGAAGTTCTATCCTTAGGCGTCGGGACAACCAATCGGCACCGCGATGTCAAAAGCCACGATGGAATGTCGAGGAGTCATCCATCGTGTATCCATCAGACAGAATTCTCAGCCCGGTTCCCACTAGACATCAAAAAATAAACAGCCCAATTACGTTTGTCGGGGACGCTCGTGACAAGGGCCATAATTACGCTAAACGATTTCTAAGCGCGTTCAAGTAGCTAACGATTGTAAATGTGGCGGCGAGATAGAAGGAAGCAGCTGCTTACCCCGCTGACCCCTCATTGCAATCGGCTGCCATTCGAGACTCGTGTCACTACTATGGATCACAAGTCCAGGAATAATCGGGCTGTACAAACATACGTATAATGGACAATGAAAAATTTTTCGAATTTTTTCGCCAAATGGATTTTCGAGATTTCCGAGGTTTAACGATACTCGTTCTTAGGGCATTAATGCGGTATGGTTTAGCCAGGTCGTTAACGATCCCGCTCCCTTTTGCCAGAGGGTTCCATGTAACTGACAATGAGTATACGTAATACATAAGGCAGTGGCAAGGCACTCGAAGAAAAGGCTCGAGAAGGTATCTGTCTGTCCGGCGTAGGAGCAATCGAGGTGCAAGTCACGCCGTTGGGCCGATCGGGGCTTCTGAGGTTAGAGAGACGAGTTCTGGGCGTCCACACCTCACTCTAGTGTGGCGCGGATGGCGTGGCGGTTCCCTCTTCCATATAGGCGGCTCCTCTTTTAAACCCCCTTTACTTTCCACTACCGAAGCGGCTTGGAATCCGCCTTATTGACAGGTTCACAGCTTCCGAAGATCCCCTTCAGATCCTACTCGACGTACCTACCTACCTACCTACCTACCTACCTACAGGCCTATCGATCTTCTTATTTACTAGTTTCCCGGATGAACCGAATAAATGTGTGTTCTGTCTCGAGGACGAAAAATGAATTTTGAAAGACTTCGACTTACCGGATGCTTACCAAATAATATGGACCAGAATTCTTTTTGAGTTTTTTTATAACATTGGGAAGGGTTCGTCGAAGACGGAAAAGGGAAGGACGGCGAAAATGACGTAGAGGCCACAGAGGCCATTAACACCTCCCGGACAAATCACTCGATTTTCTCGGACGATTTTCCCGCAGCACGTCCAGCAAATAAGGAAACACGATGTATCACCCGAGGGAGACGACAGGACGGGAGAAGCAGGATAGCAGGGAGGTGGTTTACTGCCTCCCGGTAATGACGAAACAGATGGCCTCCTGCGGGATGCGAGACAGAAAGTTCGAGGATGTGAGGCAGGATCCCACGTACGTGTGTCCCACAGGAAGGAGGGAAAAAGGGAAGAAGGATCTCCCTGATGAAGTGCTCCCATTATCGGTACAGGACAAAACCTACTTCTACGAGTCCAGGAGACTTTATTACCCGCGAACCCGCTTCCTTAATCCTCTTGCGACGTTGAATCCTTCCTCCGTCTATTCCGTAATTAACAGCAAAGCAACAACCAAGTGCACGTTTTCCCCTTATTCCGTTCTTCGTTTTGTCTTTTCCACGTCCCTTTCTTCTTCGTTCTCACGATCCAACATACAAACAGTACATGCACTCTCCTATTCTATGCGGTAAATTCAAAATAGAGCTTCGATTTTTGGAGCTCAGAGAAATACCATGATCCAGCGGGCAGGGTCCATGCTTTCGTAGTCAGTGCAGAACTGTAGTTTCGATGATGCCATATACCGTTACTCGCTCGTGTAAATGCAACTGTATCGTCTGGGATAGCAACAAGTTTTTAACTATCACGAATATGATAGTCAACCATCCATCCGTGCTCAGAGTCATTTCAATTAGAATTGGATGTGAATCACAGGGGATCGGAGAACTAGTCGTGAGAGAGCCGTATTAAAGTAACGCGGCTACAGCGTGGCGAGACGCAAGCGGAAATCTGATTCCAGTGAACGATACTCGCTCGGCACAATACTCCAATTAATAAGTCAGCCCCGAGGCTTTCGGACTGGTCCTAGTATCAGAGTCAGAGCCGTATTCAGGTTAGCCACGTACAGAATCTAACGTGATGAGACATTGTGCAGAAGATCTCTAAGGTTGTACAGAATCCACCTTGCTAGTTCCACTACCTGGCTAAGTACTTTTCCTGCTCGCTGCGTTCGATCCTTTTCATCCTTTTTGTCTTATCTGCTCAGCTTTTTCAGAAAAGCCATTTATCTGTTGCGGTACCGTTCCAATGTTCGGCTTGTTCCAGCTCGACTCGTATCTCCACGGTAGGCGGTTAGCTGTACGGGTGGTTAACCCACGAAATACAATATCTCAGGTGAAACGAACGATGCCGATACGTCTGTTAACCTGGTAAACTGTTTTTACATTTAGTGGTTCGGTAGAGACGATACCGTTTTATACGCATTAAAAAGTGGAAAGCAGCCAACAACCAACTCTCAGGTAAATACAATACCAGGTACCCAATCAAAGAATGTATGTCCTAAAAGTGCCCAGAAGTTCTTAAGGTACTCGCGACAACGGGGCCTATGGAAACTGCATAGGTGTCAAGAGAGTCATTGATGCATCATTAGCTCGATGCACGCAACCATGGTACACATGTGCGTGACTATTCACATGAAGAAACATCACTGGTAACGAACTATTCATAGCAATCACTAGGATCCATACTGCCTATGGTGCCTATGGATACTCTTTAATATTAGATGCCGTAACGATTGCACATTCTCTTTACCTTATGAGATGAGGAAACACATATATAGATATAAACAGGATTTATATATCCCATAGGACGAATATCCTCCAAGAAAAATTGAGTAACACTTATCCCGTTAGTAGTGTGAAACCGATACGCCCATGTGATGAATATGCTCCAGATTTTTATGAGCCGACGAAGGAAAGAGAATTCAAAATTGACATTCTCAAAAAAGGACATAGCCAAACATTTTCAACGGACTAGGTGGATGATACGAATGACGATGACGACGATGACGATGATGATGAAGCGTTACTAGAAATAGCTGCGATGACGATCGTAGTAGTAGTGCCAATGGTATCGATTGCGATCTCGTCGAGCGCCAGTAAATTAGATTAGCACTGTGTGGTGTGTGGGTTCGTTCGTGCATAACGAGGCCGCAAAAAGCGATCATCGAGAAGTCTCGAAGATGCACTCGCAATGCTACTCAATCATCGAGTTCAAACGGGCATTCGAGACGAAAACACTCGACAAACTTAGGGTAACCGTGCGAGAGATGAATCTTAAAGGCAAGAAGGAGTGCTGTTACAATGCGGAATACGTAGCAAGAAAAATAAGTCTAGAGGAGAGAAAGAGGATGTAATAAAGGAGACAAACGATACATGGGCAAGAGGATTAAGAGGCAAGGCAGAAACGACGAGTGGTCCTGATCTCTTTCTTTTTCTCCTTCGTTTTCTTTCTTTCTTTTTTTTTTTTGATTTTTTTTTTCCCCCCTCAAGAAAAAGGCAAAAGAAGTGTCTTTGATGATCGAAGGTCAAAGGCAGTCGACGCGATTCCCGAATGAATCGATCGGCGCGCGGCTGTTGCGGTGGCCGCGCGCGGTGGTCGCGCTTTTTCTTTTCTTCGCGTCTCAAAAGAAATTCCTTCGTTCGCCGCGTGACACAAAGGATTAGTTAGCTCGGAATATCACTCGGCCGGGGACAATGTAAAAGTAATTTGATGTTAAATGTGTGTGCGAGAGAACCTCTCGGATCCCATGCCACGTTCTCCCGCAGCATCCTTCTGGTCCATCTCGTCATCCGCCACAACCGCATCTTCTTTCTGTCTCTCGATTGGTGTTTCCATGTGTTTACGTGTATTGTCCATTCACGAGGGTGTGAGTCACGTATAGAGGGACACGTGAGCTGCCGTTCCTCTTCAGGATAAGCAACGTCATCGTCCGAAGAAAAGGATCTTGCTTTCCGAGGACACAGCATCGCTCTCCTGGAATGGATCTTCACTCGGATCTTCTTTTCTCTGGGTTTCTCTCCTCTCGGTCGGGCCGCCACCATTACCGCCTCCATCATCAGGACCGTCACGAACATTGCCAGTCGCCACTGTCAGCATAAGCAGAGTCACCATAGGGATTGCTCCTTTAATGATCTTTTGTTTTACAGGCATAGACGGGAGGCTGGAGTGATCTTCCAATGTTTTTTCTTTTTTTTCTTTTTTTTTTCCCCATTGCGCAGCAGATACTTGTGAACGCGTACTTGGGTGTCCGTGCTATCAGGTACGGGCGGAATAGCCTATCTGCGTTATCGGGCAGGATACGTGCCGGACGGAACTCGTGTCTCGTGCAAACACAGATGAACTCCTGGGCAAGCTATTTGCTCTAGGGATACGGAAAAAGTTTATGAGCGGTTTATGAGCGCAATAATCTCTTAGTGAGTAACACAATACAGGCTAATTATAGAGGATGGTCCCCAGGATGCCCGACACGCATTAACGTACACGTAAAACTCGCGAGACGGCCTGGGTGGCGTTTCCTATTTTTGTCATTTTTTCCTCCCCTCTCTTTTATTTTTCCTCTCCTTGTCCCGCCACTCTTTTTTCTTCTTTTCCTTTTCTCTTTCCCTCAATATCTCTCCCAGTCCCTCACTTTGATCCTCGCGCCTCGACGCTAATGCGTCTCTGTTATTTCAGTCCTTGTAACCCGGTAGTCAGTCAGTCCCACTGACTCCGTACTAGACCCACTGCCAGATTCTGGATTCTGGTAAAGCGAACAGGCTGCTCTGCCACTGTCACTGACAAGTCACTAGTGAGACTCGAAGAGGGACGAAGGGGGTTAACGGTACCGGGGAACAAATCGCAGGGACAAATCTCCTGGAACTGTAATAAAGAAATATCGAAAACTTTCAGGGATGCTTCAGGCTGGCCAGTCGAAGGACGACAGATTTGTTACTGGAAGGGAGGTAGGAGGGATTGATCTGGTACGGAGGGACGGCTGTTTAAGGAACAAAAAGCAGCCCTCTTGTCGTGGGTGACGGGGCGATTTCAGCGACCCTCGTTTTGTAAACCAGGCGCGAGGGAATTTCAAGCTAAAAAGCAAGTGATTAATGATTTTCAGGGTTGAAAAAGGTCTCGCTACACTTAGCCTGCCCTTCCCGAGTTCTTTAGCGCTACGATGTGTCCATAATTGATTCTGGATTACTTGTCGTCGTCGGCGAAAAACACGACGTAACTATTATACGATGACTATCAAGACTTCTCGACCTTAGCTACTACCTATATTCCATCCATCCAACCACTCCGTGAGAATGAGATACGATTGAACTCGTTCCTCTCTCCAGCCTGGATTCCAACTTTTCATCTCTTTACATATTCTCTCGAACTGTGACTAATTATAACTGCTATTACCAAATTATAATAAACAAAAAAATAGCTGCTACCCCATTCCGAAAATGATAACTGCCAAAGTCTATTAGTTTGCCAAGAGAGGAACTACGAAATGCCTGACGCTGTCGCTGGGAGTAATATTTCAAAGGTGGAACACAGCAGAAAGTGAGGAGAGGATAGAGTGAGCAAATGACTGTGTGAGCTAGTGCGAGAGAGAGAGAGAGAAGACAAGAAGTATGTGTAAAGCACGCGTAATGCCAAGAGTAATTTGAACAAACGCACGACAACGTCTCATTTGTCATGTAGGTAACGCGCGCAATGAGTGACAGAGCGGTAGCCGTGAAGAGACCAGAAATAAACCGATACATAGACGGCAAGTTTTTCCCGGTTGCGGAATCCATACGTAACGGGGGTTCCGTGTCAAAGGATTTATTTTTATATGGCCAGGGGATACGAGAACGATGCGAACAGTTCAGAAATAGTTGAGCGCCCTTCGAGTTCCATCTGGTACCTATGCTCATTACCTATCTACCGACATGACGTTTCTAGAACGATAATATCAAAATTATCATATACATCGTATTAATCGTTATTCTTAGATTCCTCGAGTTTATCGCGAGTTACGCGTGACGGCTACTAAGGCCGTTGACAGACAGAATCCTCTGTATAGAGAAATCCAAATCTTACTCTGTGTACGAAGAGTAAAGCTCGATAATTAAAATTCTGCAGTCCACAGAGGATATCATTCGGTAAATGCCTCCAGGCGTAAAGGATGATCAACGTGTATCCTTTACTCTTTCAACCCTTTCCTCGCGATTAATTCGACCCTCCATTGGATCGTCCGACCTTTTAATTGATATACATAATCATGCATTAACCATGGGAGCGCATACTCACTCAGTGACGAAGTTTTCTATTCTCTTAGCCAAGGTTCTCGGCGACTCCACGAAGCCGATACTGGAGTCAGTCTGGATTACATGAAAGAAAAAAGTAAAAGTGATTAATACACAAGATAAGTCTATAATTCTCAGTGTCCCAATTGCCCAGAGACGTAAGAGTGAATAGAGAGTCCGAAAGAGAATTCGTTTTTCCTACTAGACTATTAATAATCGGAGTAGCGGCGCGTGCGGCGATGATACTCGGATGTCACTAGCGCGAGTAAACGCAAAGTGAGGGGAGCGAGGAGGGGCGCGGGGAGTCGCTCGAAATGTTTGTTTGGTTCAGGGCGCTGGCGCGAGTGACAAACACGAGCAAACATAACGTTGGCCCGCGCTCGGCGATCCCTCAATGTTTTCACAAGCCGATGCGCCACGGTGGGGTTGTCGTGGGCTGAAAATAGTCCTCCTCCTCGGCGGCGGTCCACGTCGGGGAGCACGGAAAGAGATTTATCAGCTTTTAATGGTTTCGAAATCGTAAAAAAGTGCAAACTGCATTCACGCGGTCCATGCGCCGCGGGAACACACAAGGCGCACTGCCGACGAACCGTCGAGATTTTTGTCAACGCCTTTGTCAAAGTTATGTCAACAGGGGATCGGTGCCAACAGCTGGTCCAGGCTGCTGGTTATTTTGAATTTAACGATGCCTTGTTTACGAGAGGACACGCAGCATCTTTATACCATTCACTCACAATGTCCAAGACAATTCATCTCCTCACTTTCTCGTCTCGACTCATCTCAGGCTTTCATCTCGTTTGCCAAGAGATGCTTCACGCCGAAACACAGAGGAAAAGTTCGATGCGTTGGGTGAGCTTGAAAACTTGAACACTCATCGAGAGAAAAGTCGGGTCGATTGTTCTTAATAATTGGATTTGGATAATTCAATTTGGCTTCTTGGACGGACAGTAAGTACTACCATCCTGAGGAACATCTGAGACACGATCAGCTTATTCCACTCTGGTGGCCTACCGAGTAACAATGATGCGATTAGGTCCCTTGGTAAATTATGCCATTACGCGTTAGGCAGGTGCCTGGTCTTTGGCTTTGGTTTACTCGAACGCTTCTCGTATAGCCAAGAGATGCTGGGTGGATCTTGAAAAATTGAGAAACTCATGGAAACGTACCGAGCGTGTACCACGAGGTAGAAATGCGTCATCGTTTCCCGAAGCTGGCTAGTCGCACCAGGCCTTTTCAACATGGCAACGATTTGGCGCTGATGTGCCTGGTGTGCGATCTGTCAACGAGGAGGGCCTAGTCCTGGTATTAACTTGGATAAAAGTAAACAGAGATACCGGGACGCCGACGACAAGCAGGGCATCGCTCAGCAGCCGTGACATTATTAAAATCCATCAAGGCACTCATCGGTCGCTTTATCATTTCCTGCTATCTTTGTTGACACTTTGATTTTTTCACCTAGGATTTAATAACTGCTCGGTAAACGTATAACCGGCGGCCCAATGCATATACCGGGCTATTGTAATTCCACTGTGACCATGGCTCCGATACAGAAGCCGCACCCTCGATCCTATGGATGAAATCACGTCACTGTCATTAGCAGTGCCCACGAGTTCACCCGGTTGGACTAGGACCTTAGGCCTTCGGCTTGGCGTCCCGACGCTCGATCATCGCCACGCTGATTCCTTCTCGGCCGATCAAACGTTCGTCACGATACGATTAATAACCGCGGGACGAGTTATTGTGTTTCGTCGAGGCTAACGCGAAAACGATCAGAACCATCAGCTACGTCGACGTTATACTGCGAAGAAGAAGAGAGTGGCGGAAGTGAGATAATGAAAGAGAGAAAATTAGAGAAATCAAGTGAGAAGGATGGAGAGATTAAGGCTTTTCCATTTACCAAAAGCCTTTTTCAACAACGAAATGAGCCGAGTCTAGCGCAGGGACTTGGAATTCTGATAGACCCGAAGCCTGAGGTCCAGGCTCCGTAGAATCTATAGGTCCTAAACTGAGAACGACGTCGCTCCCTAAATACCTGTCGCTCCGACGAGGAGACGTCCCTCATTCACTCCTCGAGTGGGAAACTTTTCATCCCGTCATTTCCGGCCACGAGAACTCGGGCTATCGTACTCGGGAGCGTGCATTTCTGCCTCCCCATATAGGAAAAGAGCCAAGGACCCTAAAGTGTCCTATCGGCCACGATGGATTTCATAGGGGAAACGGCGAGAAGCCTCGAGAGTCGTTGAACGATGTTTACGCTACACAAAATTGCAAACTTTTCTACTCGTCACTGACTATTCGTACTGCTACAAAGTTTCTCATACAGCATCCATTGAGATCGGAATACGGCACTTTCGAATTATTCCATATTATCCTGGTACATACCGATCCGTGAAAACGTGTCGCATGCGTGGGGTAAAATGGACAGTATAATCGGTACGTCGAAATACGTAGCTCACATCAAACATTGACTGACGCGTGTTGATGCTCCCACGCGGTAATTACTCGCTCGAGCGACCCTATTGGTCGATGAACTTGCCCGATCATTATCTCACACTGGAACTTGGACCCAAGAGGACTCCTACGAAACTGCTAGGGACATAAGAATCATTCCTTTTCACCTTTTCTTCCGCCATGCGTTGCAATGTCTAATAGTTAGCTTGGCTCTCCTTGATTCTCATTTACCTTTTTTTTTTTGTTTTTCCTTTTTTTTTTCCTATTTTTTTCCTTTCCCGTTTTTAACTCCTCTCTTTTTTCTCGGTAAAAGGTGGTAGCGATCCAAGTGCAATCATATCGCGTATCAATAGATTTCGCAATTTCCAGCGGAGGTTGCGGGGTGAGGTCGCCCGCGAGGCCTGCGATTGACGTCAATTAATCACAGGTCGTGTGCTGCAGCGAACGACGTGGTGGTGACTTGCAACAATACCGCCACCTATCATATTAACGGATAATTGAAAGGTATCCGGCTAGAAAGCATACTGAGATTTTTGTAATATCACCGTTGTAAGTGCATCTGCGATCAGAATGAACCATCGGTGACTTGCAGAGGGTCATTTTGCGTTTCTCTTTATTCGCGACACGAATCGATCGACTTGTGGTTTCCAAATAGACTCATCGGCGCGCGAAGATGTTGATCTCCTTTTAGTTGATCTCATCGCGATATTAATACATACCAGCCCATTTTCGGCTTCTTCGACTTTCATAAGCGTTTGACTTGGCTACGACCCGTGACAGCCGGCCGTCATACGAAAACATTCTCTCGTCGATTTACTTTCAGGAATTTTCGCATAAACGTTGACGTATTTAAGGGAATCTGTAAACCATCCACCTATTTTTAGATCTCCCGAACACTCCTAAAAGCCGAGGTCCCCGTTCGAGCTAACATTTTTCCTGACACCGACTACCAAGTTGTTAAGGTAACCGAGTTCCCTCTTTTTTTTCTCTGTCGACACGACTAGCCCGAGAGAGGAAGAAGAGAGGGCAAGGAGTATCAGAGAAAAAGGGAAAGAGTAAGAATAACATTTCGTCTCGCAGCACTAGCTCTCGTCGTCTTAGCGTCGGCGATGCTTGTATCGGAATGAGTATCGCTACCGTGAAGAGAGGAGAGGACAGACGAGTCTCTCGCTTCGAGATTTGCTGGTTGAACGGCGCTGGGACAAGGAGTTATGATATCGGCATCGATCGCCGTGCCAAGTGAAAACACGCCGGCGTGAGTAATATACAGGCATAGGGTGATCTTTTATAGTGCAGCAAGCGCGAAGGGAATGATCCACGCTAACGTCGAGATGATATCGTCCTAACCCCAAGAAAGGGAGAGGGTCAAGGAGAACTGAACCCGGAGCACTCGCCGCCTCTAGTCGTAAATAAAGTCAAGCGCTACCACTGCCAATCCTGCCCTGTCTTCTTCTGTCCCCTGAAAATACTGGAACGCGTGGTTCAGAGGATAAAACTAGGCTAACGCATGCTACTGGGATGCCTAATGAAGTATCGGCGATACTCGCGCACGACCAACGAGTATCTCGGGCGACTGGTGAACCTGGTCATGGGTTTCCAATAGAAAAGATCGGAGGAAAAACAGGAATGATAGGGAAGACAGAAAGATCCGGAGTAGTTTAAGGCGACACGCAACGCATCACTGATCGACATAAGATCCCATAGGTCAAAGGTCATCCAGGAACCGGGACCTTGATCCATCGAAGGATCCATCGAAGATCCAGAATTGGACGTTGCACGCGAGGAATGAAAATCGCAAAGTGATCCAGGTAATGCGTCTGCCAATCAATAATGATCTAAGAAGAGGAACAGCTGCTGTAGCTATATTAGGAGAATCATCCATGTCTAATCGTCTAGTCTTCGGCTACGTGATCGCACTCTAATCGTAAACCAGGGCCAGGCGTTATTACCATCAAATTACCGGCAGACTTCGTGGACTCGTTTTAGTCCCCCAGACTGACTCCGAGGGAGACTAAGAGCCACTGCCCGTGTAACCGCGTGATCGTGGGCCCTATCTCCGAGCAGCGGCAACTATTTGAATGATTAGATAGCCGATCATTCAGAAATCGTGGCGATCGGCCGGCTGCTCATCAAATAATAGCCTTGAGGGGCCTCCTTCGTGACCGGCAGACACGCATCGATGATTTCGCGGCCGAAAAGAACGGCAAAGTCCCCGATAAATTCATATTTCCGAGGCCGAGCACACTAATGCGGGACTTGCAAGTTGAAAGGCACGCACCTGTGATGGGCCAATACTTTGGCACAAATGAAAAACGTATAGCTACTCTTCGTCGAGTTTGGTTATCTTTTTGCCTTTTATTATCAGCCACTTACCGCGCTGCACGAGCAAACCTGAAGATCGACCGATCGACTTCCCCGGTGGTTCCCGCGCTCGTGAATTTCTGTATTTGATGGATTCACGCAGGGTTCCATTTTCCCAGTTGGGTCCACGTCAGACCGAAATATTCGAGGCTATGTCGATCTGATATTAGCAGCACTGCAGTTTAATACATTGAGAAATAAATGACATTCCATTTGGCAAACAGCAGAGCCGCGTCCAATGATCCATAGATCATCAGCTTTTAGATGGTAAACATTTTATTCGATTTTTTTTTAATGATTGTATTCTAAGGCGAGAGGATTTGATTCTCCGATTTCTGAGACGTTGTGGCACGAGTCCTTGTTTGTTTGATCCTATCGGGACGCAGGTGAATGTAATTCTTTAACTCATACATTGTTCCATCTTCAAAATCATTAGTCACTGAAATCCATCGAGTCCGTCAAAAAAAAAAACCCTTAAACTTTATCAATAAAAATCTTACGTTTCTCACGACGTTTGTTTATGAATTCGTTATGCTCATTAATCCAGGAAGGGTCCTTATTAATAGTCTTTCCTTTAAGAGTCAACGGCTTTTCTACAAGATGACTGATCTCTATAACAGGAGATCCAGTGATTACCTCGAGATAAGGAAAATAAGAAGCTTAAAGATTCGAAGTATGCAGTTAAATCACACTAACCACTTTCCAATAGATTTTCTAAATTTTCATCTCCAACAGGAGGACTGATATCAGGGTGTATGGTTTGCGCTCCGATAACATCCACTTCGTTACCAAAAATCTTGACCGATCGATCCGTCACCTCAGTGTCGTGTTCCCTCTCTTGCTCAGACCAAGGATGATCGTCAGGACTTATCTTAGGTTTCATCGGCTCCTCAAATTCCTCGGATCCATCAATTCGATCTTTGATCTCAGTAGCTCGCTCCTGTGATTCTAGGATAAGTAAAAGCTCTCAATTGGCAAAGAATGATTGGCTCTCGCTCGCTCATGATCCCGTATAACGTAAGTGCCGGTGCGCTGATCACTACGAAGAAGGAGGTAGGAACCGACCAGTGGAATTAGCTGGGGCAACGTGGCTATTTACTCCGGGTACACTTACGTTATACTATCATGCCCCGACGAGATGAACACCTAGACGAATAGGCGAGAATGAGTGCAGCGACCCGGGGTAAATACTCACGCTTCCCGGACAGCGTCAACTTCAGATATATTACGAAAATATGTTAAGCATCGTCCTGTTTGTCCTTCTGAGATTCACTCGTCTCAGTTTTGTCATTCAGGATGCTTCTCCTGTCGATATTAAAGAGATAACTCTCTGCATAGATAGCACGGGGTGACAGAATGGGATTTCCTCTGAGGGATGAATTTTGTTGGTTGGTACTGAAATTCTGTTTGCTATTATTTCGTAGACAGTTTGGCACCAAATGGTTTTCTATAGCTGTTTTATAGTAACGTAATGGCGAATGTTCTCTAGCTTCAGAGAGTTCGCCGAGTTTCGAGATAGATGACGTTTTCCTTTCCTTTTGGGTAGTTCGTGACATTTTCCGGACGGGCGCCTGATGCTGAATGGAATCAGTCTCCATACGGTGGCGGGAATCGGAAAATTGTGTCGCGGCTCGTTCAGAATTAGGAGAACTTGCAAGCTCGGATACTTTATAATTATCGTAAGTCCGGACCGCTTCGTTGGCCGAAGTACTCAATGGCGGTTGAGCGGAGTCTTCTTTACTGATTCCTTTTCCACTTGGCACTTGCCATCTCTTTATATTGTCTCTACTGTAAGGATAAGGATCACCTGGCATCCTTATAAAATCTCCGTCGATGATAAATTCATCGTCCTCTTCATAACCCTCTTCCTCCTGGGAATTTGAGAGTTCATACTTTTCCTTTAGGTCATTCCTGTTATGCCAACTGGAAGTTGTAGAATGCTCTTCATTGACTAGAAATTCGGGAGATTCTGAAGATTCCGACGTCACTCTTAACGATACAGATTTCTTAGGGGAGTCAAAGTTCAAGAAAGACTTTTCTTCGGAGTCCGACGAAATTTCCTTGGATAAAAAAGCTTCCGCAGGACCATCGGATTCTGTAGATTCGTCATGCTCCAAATCTTCGCTTGAATTGACGTGATCATCAGACGCGTCTTCGTTGGATGAAATTGCAAGAACCATTTCAGCTTCCCGTTCGTGCGATAATAGATTCGAATCCTCCTTAAGGAGAGCCTCGTTATCCTCAATTTTATCCACAGTCGCGCCCGAATCCTTCACAGTCAATTGAGTTTTTGTTTCTTCCTGATCAGACTGCAACATTCCAGTAACAACTGTAGAGAGTTTCGGCTGAGTCGTTAAACTTTCCAGGTCGATTGGACTTTGAACCTCTAGTTGCTCAATAGGATTCTGATTTCTTGGGATTTTTCTAATCTTTCCCAATTCCGTGTTAAATTCCTTTCTGGAATTACTGCCGGCAGAAGAGACTGTATTTACTTTCATTCTCGTTCTTATTATCTTGTTAACAGGCAGGTTATTGTCGAAGTACAGTGTATAGGGCGAGCACGTACTGTAGGTGTGTAACTTTTTTTGAGTAGTATAATCAATTTTCCGGAAAGCACTTAGAGGATCCATTCGATTAAGGGCACGTTTGATCTCCATTGACCTCAGTGCTTTGTATTCAGATCTATTGACCTCATCCTCGATATCATCCCACTCATTAGCGGCTCTTACGGTTTCTATGTCCAATTTCGGTTGAGGAGGTTCGGGTCGAATGAAAATTCTGCTCGAAGATTTCGTCGGCTTTGCGGATGCCCTATTTGCCGCGAGACTATGTTCACGAATTTTTGACTTTACCGCGACATCTTCCCAAGCTGAAATTTCTCCACCCAGAGGTATATTTTCCGGAATATTGTAGTCGCAATCTAAGCAACGTTCAAACTGTTTGCTATCCCTAATTTCCTTCCCAATACTTTCGGACCTTTCCGAATGAATCTCAGCCCTCTCGGCAATACTTCTGTCATCATTTTCCATATCTTTGGATATATCATTCCCAGTAGAGTCTGCAGTACGACGATTCGAGGCTTCCAAGGAATCCCCAGCTTGATGAACCTGAATATTTTTTAGTTGTAATGGACTCTGCGGAGCGTCACCTGAAGTAACGTGTGTACGCGTCCTGGCGTTCGATGCACTCCCAAGATTTACATAATTCGCATCAACTTCCCGAGTGTCCTTAGCCGTCTCTTTGGGTTCAGCTTCTGATGCTGCAGTCGCTGCTGCTTCTGCTTTAGTCAAGTACTCCTTGACGTTCACGCCCCATTTTTGCTTAATAACATACTCCGGTATATTCCGTAATACAGGTTTATCAGAACGTGCGGTACTTTCAGCCAACTTCACTCCCCACTGGCAATTACAATTTGTCTCATCCGAATGACTTATTTCCTTTCTTCCCGGTTCCAAAATATTCGTTACTTCGTCAGCACCGTCCACTCGAATAACTGGCTTCTTTTGCTTCTTCTCCTTTTTCTCCTCCTTTTTAGGCTTTTCCGGCATATTCGGTTCTCTGATTGGCGGTTTTGTATTTCTCGATGAAAGTCCTATCGGTTCGCCCATCCAACTCATTGCCGTGATACCCCGATCATATCCAATGCTGTGAGGATTTATTCTACAGCGAATAAGCCGCAGCGAATGTCGATCTAATCCCGAGAGACCCTGTATAGCTTGGTCATAATGCAGGGCAGTACCGTACTGGTCCATTTCATCGGATGACGTATGATTCCTGCAAGACTCTAAGACTATCGACGAACGTGTGAAACTACGGAATTTCAAAAAAACAAAAAAAAAAAGATAAATAAAATGTCATTTAATCATACCTGCTGATCGATTGAAAATATCTTTCAATTTTGACAGGAAGCCATCGCTGTGCTTCTCACTTTTTTGGGCTAAACATACGTTTGCTAAAATATGAAATTCACGTGAGAACTCGAGCAACTGGGAGAAGGTAATATTTTCATCGTTTAACCAACCAGCCGATATGTTCCTCTGGGACAGAGGACCGAGGAGTCCTCTTCGAAGTAAATTTCCATTGGAGGATGCTGTAAATGCACTCATCCTTGTGGGAAACTAGTAAAATTTGGAAAATCCGTCGGGAATATCCCGAATTTCTTATATCAGCTGCGCAATGATTTATTTCATACCGAAATTTACACTAGACTGTCTTTTTTTCAGACTGTGAAAACGTATGTCATTTCGACTCTCGCGTGTTACGCAATTCGTATCGCACGTATCTTCACAATAAACAATTTCCCATAACAATACCGTTGTTAGTAATTACAATGTAATTTTGCATGTTACTTAATTCTTATTTTACTTTTGCCCTGCTGAAACTATCACATTAAATTTCAATGTGAAAATCGAAAAGTAGCTTTTTGTTCGCCGAGTGCGAATAAATCACGTAAAAAAGTTGAAGTACGTTGAAAGAACCTATAGTACACTTATGTACGGAACAGTACACGCGTAGCGAAGGCACCAACTTAAGTTCGGTTAATCATTGGCAAAACTTTTTTTCCCATGAGATTTCGAACCCCTGTCCAGACATAATACGATAATGGAGACTATCCCGATAAGGGATGTTACTCTCCCCATAGTAAGACCTAACTCTAAATGTTACGTTTAAGAATTCGATTTTACGTGACAATGTAAGAAATGGCGTTAGAGTTCAAGTGACATAGCAACAGCAATAGCAATGCCATCCACGTACATTGATAATCGTTAATACAAGTTTAAAGGACATTATCGTAAGAATTGGTTGGGACATTAAAAAGCGCACGTGTCCTTAACGGTATAGATCCAATGGAATTTTAAAGAGCTATTCTAGCCCTTCCTTCCAATCGTTCCGGGTGACACATGTCCCCAATGCCGCCAGACATGCAGAGAATCTCCGTGTAGAATACCAATGGTCCCAGTTAGAAAATCAGAAGAAAGAAAGGCCGCAGGAAGATGGAGGAATATGCGACCGTCGGATGGACGTGCCATTATTCAGGAGCACAAGAACGTAACACGTAAGGTATTTCCTAGCGCGGGACGAATTATTCATGTTGGTCAAGGTTCATGGGTCAATCTCTCCGATACAAGAAGAGGGGCAGGACATCTCGAAGGTCTGTTACGAAATTACAGATATTTCCTGGCGCAGCAACAAGACGGGACATTAACCATAAATTCGTGAGTCCCTTGTGCCAAATAGCCGCGCGCCATGCCAATTGTATAAATTGCCTATGACAAACTTATAGTTTCGGGAAGCATCCCATAATTTCTCCAGGATATGTTTCGTCCTCGGACGTGATATCAGATACGTTATCCAGGACTGCCGGGGCCAATATTTATCCCTGGCAAAAGCCGCGGTGCAGGTGCGTGTCAGGGTCCCTCGTGGTCGTTTGAGACATCGTTCCCAAGAGGTCTGAAAACGTGACGCTCTACCTTTCCTGATCACGTACTCGTCGTAGGTGCGCCTTTTGGCTTCGTCCTTCGGATTTGTCGCGTGAAAAAACTTTTCTTTCCTTCGGGGGAAAAAAAAAAACCGAAATTGTCGAAACCTTCGATAGCGTCACCAGGACACTTTCACTTGGACACTACGGATACTCGAAATCGGAGAACTGGAAAAATGGGTGCCACGTTACTCCAGCAGGAACGATCAATTTAAAAGCTGTCGGCGACAATCGTTTAAGTCGAAAAACGATTTACACCGCGGACACGGAGTTGCCCTGTTGCCGCGTAGCTTAAAGCGTATCGCTTTGGAGAGGGTGAGTTTACATTCAGGGGCACCGTATAGAGGGTGAGTGAAAACCGCTCGTTTATCAGTGAGCGACTGTAGTGAAAGCGACACCAAGTCCCTACGCAATGGGAATAACAATTCTCCTGCTTTCTCTTGACGCTAACTGAAAAGTATTGACGTCACGCTATCCCTTCTGCATTTCGAATGCCACCAGCGTTCCCGATGCGGTTCACCATTCTTTGATATTCAAAGTTTAAATCGCTACTCTCACACGTCAGAATGGACTGACAAGAAGTTAATACGAAGAGACTATAGGAGGGTTCACAGACAGGTTATGCTATTGCCAAGTTATAACTGAGCAAGATCGCAATTTGCAGAAGGATCGGCGGCCGCTCCTAGCCAGATAAGAGGTTCTGCTTGCCAGTGAGGAATGACAGGGGCACAGCTGACCAGGAGTCGGAGACAAATCGGTTGTTGTACGTCACTAGGAAAATTGAGTTCGAGGACTCGTTTTATTGGCTCGTATCCGTGCCGGAAGGTTAGCCTATCAAATTCAAACCAAAACGGTCTGCTTGTCACCCCATTTTGCAAGTGTCGTCGTAGCGCCGGGCTAATTTGTCAGTTGTCGAGTTAGCGTCCTCCTGGGGATTCACAGGCAGCCCTTACAGAGCCAGGACGGTAATCAACCGGTGAATATCTGAACTGGTTCCGAAGGGGGTGCAACGCCCCGCACCCCTTCGTTCTCATTTATAAAGAAGAGGCCAGCGGCACGAGGCGCGATTGATCGAGCCCCAATTCAAATCCATTGGGGAAGGCCTTTTCCGTACATAATTCTCACCGTTCTTTCTTTTCCATTCATTCCCTTCTTCTACTTTCCCCTCGTAGCTTGACTTTTCTCCCTCTTTGTAAGGACCTGCTGAAAAACAAAGTAGTACGCGTACCTGCGACGCATGCAATCGTACGCCCTGACACTTTGACATCAAACCGTTCTGAGAGCGTGTAAATGAAACGATGATGTGAAAAGAAAGAAAAGGCAAAAAGCGAGAAGCGAGGAAAGCAAGGAGAAAGTAGAAAGTAGAAAGTACCAATGACCGACGCAGGAACGAGGAACTTTGAAAAGTGGCAGCTAATACGACTGACTTGGCAGGTGGGTTCCCTCTGATGTCACACGAGCCCGTAAGCTTTCCAGGGTGGCTCAGCGGATTTTGAGGCTTTGTAGTCATCCATTTCCAGGGCAACCCCGGGCGTGCCCCTACACGTACATTATTTAAATAAACAAGAGAAGGGGAAGATTGGCTGCTGCTCAGACGCCTCGTCTCCTCCTGCCATCTCCGTTCCCATCCCCGAACCATCCCCCATTCTCATTCCCGTTTTCGTCCCGTTTTCAGTGACGAACAATTATCCCCTCCAAAGGCTCCAAAGTGACAGACAGGGGGTCGCTTCAAAATGGTACCAAGCGAAGGCCTCCACGCTTCAGGCTTCAGCTTCTAATGAATTTTAAATTGGTTCGCATTTATAATACACCCTCGTTGACAGTCGAGATGAACCGGAGATGACAAAGTAAAACGTTACCTAAATAACACTGAATTCCTTCAGCGCTTACCCTCCCTCTCTCCTTTCCACCCCTTATGTGCGGCACCCACCTCTGACAAACACAAAAGTGACAAATCTTTTGCCCGTCTACTACCCGGTCGTTCCACTCTCGTTCGCAAGGATAAGTACAATTTTCACCCTATCGGAAAGCGAAGAAGATGCAGCTACTTAGAACTTTAAGCTCCTCTGTCTAAATACAAGATTCTGAGCAGGGACTTCAGACACAGGGATCAACCATTCTGGATATCACGCGCAACATTATTGATCTTTGAACTATACCAGATTAATGTGAGAATTCAAGCAAGTGCAGTACGACAGTGAAAACAAGTGCCAACGTCAAGTGTTTCTGCTTGTTATATCATAGAAACTGTTGCACCGATGGGTGCATCTAAAGTCCCTACTAGCTAACTAGCAGTTGTCCGAGTTCAAGCAGTTCTGAATATAAGAGGAGCGATGCAAGAGACAGGTAGTTCCGAGTGTGTACACCGAAAATAGCCAAGCCGCCATCTGGGCAACGTCGTAGACGGTACCGATAAACAGCACTCAAAGGTTGGGTCAAAAAACTCAACTATCGTCCGTACCACGAGCTCGCGTCTTTCTTTGATCTCATAAGCCATCCAAAGTCCTTTGGCCAGTTCGCTAAAAGATCTTCTGGGTCAACTCGAGGTGGCTCAGAGATGACCTCCCCTCTGGGATTTACGCTGGTCCATCGAATAACAAATCCAGAACCCTAACAGACAGATCATACTGTATCTACAAATTAAAAAGTCTCCAGACTGGTGACTCTTGAACCTAAATTGACAATCAGATATCTACAGCAGCTGACAATGGGGAAGGATTTCTGAATTCACTGAACAAACACTCAGCTACTACGCGGACGGTAATATTAACAGGGTAAGTTTTCCCAGCAAGTTTCCTCGCTACGACCACGTGTGCACGTGCGTAGGTGACGGTGGACGTTGAGACAGTGATGCACTGGAAGGTACTTCAAGTCCTCGGGCTATTCCGAGTCTGTAACTTAGCCACGTACAATTACCATACATCTCGATGCCGCTAAACTCAGAACTCAGTTACACAGTTACACGTTTCAATGGGCATTGTGGATGGATATGCCAACTACCTCTATCTCTCTCTCTCTCTCTCTCTCTCTCTCTCTCTCTATTTATCTGAACCTCTCTCACAGTGCATCTTTCCACCACTGTCTGCCTATCCATCCATTTCGCTGACTGTATCTAATGGTGCTGCACTTGAAATGGATGCTGCAGTACGAGACACTCTGGACCATCGAGCATCCTTCTTAGTAAGCAGACAGTCTTGCCAATGCATCATTGCCCGAAGGGATTACGTAATTTCCCGGTGATAAAGGAACTCTGCGCCAGGAATTTATTTTTGAGAAAAGTCCAGCGAGAAGAATGATTCCAACACATCCGTAATGCCGTCGTTAAGATAAGAAATCTGTGAGCAATTCGGTACCGACCCTTCTGGGGGTGGTTAAGGGTGAAACCCTTTTATACGATCTTATAAATGTCAGCCAAGCTGTTGAATCTGTCACAGGGATGAGTCTGTGGTTTTTTTTTCGGCGTTCCTACTGCCGTGAGGGTGCGTCTCTCGCGTCCGTTAGACGAGGAGGGGCGAGATTTAAAACAATTACAAGGAGTCGAGGCCGAGGAGGGGAGCTAATCTTGAGGGTGGTTTAATTAAAAGTGGTGCCAACTGACGGGTGGCCATCGATCAACACTCCCACCTAGCGGCTTGACGTCTACGCCGCTCTTCTAAATAATGCTACCACGGATTACACTCGTGAAAAACAAATCGTGGTTATTCTTTGTCTTTTTTTTTTCTACCCTCAACAAAACTCACCCCTATCATTGCCTTACACGTGCTA